TCCCCTAACGCGCGACATGATTTTTAACCGACTTAGAAAAGGAAGAGGTTATTCGACATGTATATTTTGTTTTTTTATGTTTATTCGCCGATTACGCCGTAATCGGAATGAACCAAAGATCTTGCGATCTAATGCCAATGAATTCTCTCTAAATTATACTTCATAGAGTTTTTACTCAGTCGGAGGATCTTCCATTTTATTTTGTTTCATAGTACGATAATGCAGAAACCTGGATCGATAAGACAGATTACCCTGTTGACACTGCAGACGGCCCTGTCGATATCTCCATAACCTCTTATTATCTCCGATTTCTTCAACTCGGAGCTCAGAAATCCAGAAGGAATAGTTTATCGTCGTTTCTGGCAAACGAAGGCGTACCGTGCAACGTCCCCGTTCGGTCCAATCGCGCTTTCCTCCTCCGAAGGCATGACTCACCGTGTATATTAACCCCGCGGCGTGTTTACGTCGCTCAGAGCGCACCAACGGGCCGTATGTCAAAATCACGGTTGCATAACGCTCGCGCTATCGAGCGGGCGGGCGACCGACAGACATCAAGTCCCCTTGGACCCCCTTCGGAGACTCTTGGTCTCGCTCCCTTTCGGATATTTAGAGGTGACTCAGGCGTGGATTACGAGACTTGGCTACCACTTTGACCTTAATGCGTAGTCACCAGCGTGGCGGGAAGCGTGCGATGCTCGAGCTGGTCAGAATAGATCGAAAATAGCAGAGACGGCGGAAAAAAGTCGTATACTTGGTCTTAACGCCATCCAGGGGTACGTGGAACGCGGAGGATCTTTCCAATTGGAGCTGGGACTACTTGATGATTTTTTGGGCGGAGTTTCGATAGTCAGGTAGATCGTTGAATTCAGAATGGGTTCCGATCATTATAACCTAGCTGCCTCGCTGGAGCGGGTAGGTATTATCAATAACAGCCAATGTAAATGTGGCCAGGGATGCGAAACTCTTGATCACATAGTATAGCAATGCGAATTGTATAATGCACAATGACGTAAACTAACGAATTCCCTACTTAGTAGGGGCCTTCAAGTACCTCTTAATATAGACACACTCATAGCGAAGCCTAATGTTAAAATTTGTATAAGTATCAATTCCTTTTTCAAAAATTGTAATTTACACATTTAGTGTCGACGGACATTGTTATTTTACTTACTTGTATTATATTGTATCCTTATGGTATTACTAACGTGTTATATACTATGGTATTCGATTGTATTATTCCTTTAAAGCAAAATAAATCCAGAAGGGTTTGAATGCTTAAAATAAAAATAAATAAATAAAAAGATCATTGAATCAAATACAAGGCTTAGTACTTGGGTACTATTCGAATTCCAGGTTAATAGTATGATTGAGTACTCGAGTAAGGCTAGATTACTCGACTATTAGAATAATTGAATACTCCAATACAAATGATAAACATTGCCCTAATCGAAACCTAACCTAAATGGAAAATGCCGCTGACGGAGCATTCCTAGAACCTGCTTGAAGTTTCTGTAAGATTCGAGAGAAGAAACGACGATGGACAGAAACGTGCCTCTCGGTTCATCGGCGCAGCAATCGGTATCATAACAGCTGGTCTAATCACATTCGCGACGTCGCATGTAACACAGAGAGCCGCTTGCATAATTCTCAACCGACGAAGACGCATATGCAGCCGCGCGTGCACCGTGCGAACACGATTCGAATCGCTGCGTCGTTATCTGACGGGCAAAGCGATATCGCGGCTATAGTCGCTTAGTTCATCGGTGAATTTAGCCGACTTTGCTCTCCCGTCGTCGCGAAGACCGCGTCGTCGTTACTTCGTCTAGGCGACAGCATGATTTTTCACTATCTCTTTCGGAATTGCTCAACAATCTCGCAAGGTTATGATTAATTTCAGGTGTGCATAACAAAGAAGAAGACACGATCACCTAGACCTTACTTCCTTAATCATCGAGTGGAATTGAATTTCCTGGGAAAGTGCAGAGGGCCACGTGGTCGAGAACGCGAAAAAACCGTCCGTGTCGTTCCTAGTTTGTTGTGCTTTAGGAGATTCTGCGTCGTCGCTTAGTTCATCGCTAATTTAACCGTCCTGCGGCGGTCGTCATCGCACGAAAAAGCCGTATCCTTCGACGTGGACAGTCGATAACCTCCTCGACTCGGCCTCGAAATGATTCGAGACGTAGATGTATTTATAATCGTAGCGCGCGGGCCGAGCGGAACTTTTGAATCCCGGACGGGAACGAGGCGACTCGAAAAAGCCGCGATCGTTGCAACAATAATCGCCGGGACTGGCCATCAGACTGGAAGCTTTTGCGCTTTTACTGGCAATAAACCGAACCCCAGTGACGCAAATCGAAGACAAATTTAAACGGGTCGCTCTGACGCGAGGCGAGAATAATTCCCTATTGAAGCTCTGACGGAAACGACGTCCAACACGTGGGACTGCTACGAAGTCGTTAAACGAAACGAAATAAAAGTATTCTCGGAGAACGATCGAACGTTGAAATTTATTTCTCGATGCCATGGAAATAAAGCAAGAATTTGTTTTGTCTTAACTCGTCGAGTAGACAATTATTTTCTTCGTGAAATTGATGTTTAGTGATGTCTGGTGAAAGTTACGTGATACTCGAATAAATTTGATCAGAATTTCCAAGTCGATAGGCTTGTTTCGCGGGGAAACTGTTTAACTTCGTTACTTCGTAATTGGTAGGTAACGTGGCGAATCGATGATCTACTGACGTCAGATTTTAGGACTTCCTGCTCGCGCAATATGGTTAATCTTTTTCAATGGATGAACAGTTTGAGGAAGAGTGTTAAAACATGGACTGACGAGAAACAGGTACATACTAACAAGTATTTCTAAAATTTGCGTTTAAATAGAATAATGATTATCAGTTCTATCGAACGAACAAAAAGTCGGTGGAGAACGATACCTCTGGCATGTAAAACCGATTAAGAGATAACGACTCGCGTTCCAGCGATACGCTACCGCTCCGATTACCAGCGGATAGCGATTAATTAATGGCTGCACGCTATCTAATGGTATCCGTCAATGTCTACCTGTTTTTGACATTGGCGAACTTTTGGTAGCCACAATCGATAGTCGATATCTCGACAGGATGATTGAGTATCGATCGGGCAAAATTCTCACCTAGATAACAAATTTCAAATAACAATTGGAATTATGTAATGAATTTTGCAATCAAATTCCTCAAATTTTGGTATTCAAATTGCCTATCCTCTGCATGTGCGAATGAGTCACTACACAGATCATAAAGATACGTAGCAATCAACTAGGATGGATGAAACGAACTCGATGAAAATAAAAATGCTTTTACAAGTCATTTGTCATTTTTTTTTTGCAGATCAACCAAATGAGTTGTAATTGAAATTAGTCCGAATGTGGTCGTGTTTGAAGTCATTTTTTTTCGTAATGTCGTTATGAGTGATATTGTATCGTCGTTGTATTGGTTAATAAGTCACTCACTATTTATAGTAGGATGTTGTCGTCATTTATTATTCGAACGAACTTCTGCCTATCCCTGGTTTCGTGGCACCGTGTTGGCGATCAAATCGGGAAAGGACGAGGTCGCACGGATAGTGGGAGAACCGATAATCAGCAACGGTCGTCGCTCTTCTTTGGCTGAAACCCAGCGAATTCCTAAGTGTCCAAAGAATCGTGACACGATTATCGTTCCTTGGCGCCGGCACGTACTCTTTCCGGTTGTCTGCGAATCCTGCTTCACTTCCAATTTCTTTCCCTTCTTTAAGTAGACTTCTACATCTATTAGAGAAGATTTTTCGGGGAATTTCCTCTGAATTTTCGAGACAACGATAAGTATACGTTTATTTATCTAGAGCTTCGCGAGCAGTCTTTGCACCTACCAGTTTTAAATAGCGAATAGGTTGTCATTTATGGATGAAAGCCTATACTTATGTATGTCGCTAAATATAAAGGTGGAAGTCCCACGATCGATTTTCACGTAAAGAAGCTTCAACCAGAAGGTTATCCAACGCCATGAGTCATGCAGTTTTTCATAATTCTAAGGTTGACTTTGTTTTTTTGCTCGAGAGTTATGCATATGCAATCCACGGAGTTTATTTGCCTAACGCAGAAAATGCACGGATATTCAACGAATTTTTCTGCTTGAACACCTCGGTATTCTTGACTATTCATCGAATATAACTCCAATCGCACTCGAATACTGAATGTTATGAGAATATTGAATTATTCAAGCTGTGACTGCCCTAAGTAGACAGAATAGCTGGAAAAAAAATTCTCACCGACACATGTATTCGGGAAGGTCGCGTGTTTCAGCGATGATAAATGACTTTTCGAATGGAAGTTAGAGCGGTCGCTGATAAGCGAACGGATTTGCGTTACCTGTTGAACCACTGACGTTTTCCTTCGTTGGTTAAGTCTAATAATAAAGAATCGAGATCGCAACGAGAGACGATAATCTAAGCAACCACTCCAATTTTAAAAGCGAGTAGATAAGGTATATTTGGAGTTCAACCAGTGGAAATTTACTAGTTGGAACAAATGGAGACGACGACTCGTAATACTCCAAATTTACTTGATATAAAAATTATGAAATTTATGGAAAATGGAGTTTGAGCGGTCTACTCCAATTCTGAAAGTGGTCCAGTGGAAAAGGAGACCTGGATTCTGGAAAGTATAGCGAGCAAAGGTTCGAGAAATGTCGACACAGGAAGAAAACCTAATTTATCGCGCGCGAATCAGCTATCTGCAAAAGGTGGGAAAACGAATGGGAGTAAGAGAGAAAAAGAGAGTGAGAGCAAAAAGGCGACGAAGGGGCCGAAGTCACCGGCGATATACGCGCACCGCACGCCGCGGCGGCAAAAGGTGGGGAACTATTCATAGGAATGACTCATGTAGGAGATGACGCCGCGAATAGTCAGCCAGAATTTGCGCGCTACACTATGCCACCGGGCTGCCTCCCGTCCCTGATTCAGTTTGCCAAACGCCGAACATCGCGATATGATTCGCGAGCGTCTCTGGTCGTTAGAATGGAGCTGGGACTATTTGAGTAGGCCACAGCTCGGATAGGAGACTATTTGAATATGTAGTTGGAGTGGTTCGATATTGTAGTTCGATGACACTATCCAAATAGTTCAAGTAAGACACTACTTGTACAGTTCGAGTAGCTCAACACTGAAATAGTTCGCACACAAAATTTAGAAACTAAACTATCCCATCAGTAATGTGATATGTTGTAATGTGAATGTTGAATGAATGTTAATTGTAATGTATTATAATGTGAATGTTGGATGAATGTTAATATTTAAAACCACTAGGTATGATTATACGTTTTATAATTGTCAGTTATGTTTGTGTTAGTAATTTATTGATTATTCATTAATTTTGTATTTTGTATTGCGATTTCATTTTGTCTATGATATGTTGTCTGTTGTCTTTGAATTTTGACAGTTTTACACCGAACCTCGAAATAAATATCCTTACAGTAATTAGAATCCTCTGACAAAGGCCCCTGAAACTCTCAGCTCGATGCGCGATGACCCCGCAATTAGTCAATCGTCCAAGCTCGATAACCTCTTATTTTACATAGGCAACGTATCTTTCCGTTCCGGTTCTTTTCGATAGGGTGTTTATTGTTTGGATCGCGCGGATCTAGCGATCCCGATAACGCAACGGACGCGCGGGAGTCATCGCCGAGCAGAAACGCGCTGATAGCAACGTTCCCGTCGGAAATTGTAAACAGGACTCAGCTAAACGACTCTAGTGAATTAGACGCTGGCGTGGCTTGTGTAAGAGCCAGTGAACGACGCCACGTGCTGAATGAAACCGTTAAAAACCGTAACGCGACGCTTGCAGCTTGCGTGCGCGAAAAATTTTCCACCGACCTCGCGAGCTGAATGACTTTTCTGGGATGACGCTACCACGGTGGAAAGTTTTTCTAGTTGGGAGTACACGCTTCTGGGAAAACCGATTCAGTGGATGGACAGCATCTGGTAGATGACGGAGGAAAAACGCTGGCGACAAAACAAAAACATTAACGAATCTTTCTGGTATTAGAACGTTTAGAATATATTAAATTCTCTGGCTCTGAATTGTTGACATTTTTAACTGAAAATTTTAATTTTCACACATTTTATTCTAGTTTTATCTAATTGCAGAAATTCTTTTTTCACTACTCATACCGTCATGTCTCTCCTTAACGACCACTTATCTGTAAAGTAATTCCTACGGAATTAACCTGCTATTAAACACGCGATACATTCAGACGCTAATCCCGATACAGCTAATGGACTTCGATAGAAATCGGAGTGGCTTCAGGTACCAAATAAAACGAGAGGAATCATCCTAAACACGCGATCTTAAGTCGATAGGAACGACCAAGAATCCGCGAGGATCCTGTTCGATGCATCGAAGGAGGTTCAACGATAGAAATGGCGCAAGCGAGCGTGGCGTAAAAGCGAATAAGTCGTTCGAAGTCGCGTCAATGGATCGTGATCGTCTGGTTTGGCGCGCAGACGACGCCGAAGCGACACAGGCGAGGAGCTGCATTCCGTAAAACGAGCACGTACGCGCGCGTTTCGACGGAACGAGGCGAGAAAACGCGTTTAGTGGAGTACGTACCGAGAGTACTGTTACTCGAGCGCCGATAGAGAGGAGCACGAGCCACCGCCGATACGCAATCTTACCCACCCACGTTTCCTCGACATTTTCCATTCAATTTCCCGTTGAATTCACCGCCTACGCAATTCAGTCGAGCGGGATCAGCAAAGACCGTGTGTGACGGATGGAAAATGTTCCCTTTTTACCATTTTAAAAACGGAGGGAGTCCATGCGAGATCTATCATTTAGGAAATCGTAAAAATTAAATGATGATTGATGCTTGTGACTTGGAAAAGTTTATCCGATTTTTACCATTTTTATTTTAAATACGTAGTCAGTTAGTACATGTACTATTATTTGCAATAATTAGAGTTTTACAATTATCCAGCCAATCAGCATACTGAAAATGTTACTCTGACAAGTAACATTAGAAAATTATGTAATCTACGAGAGCTATTCCCATAATCCATGCCCGAGAGAATAAATTTGAATGTCCATCTCTGAGAAACATATTTTTTACCTACATCTGAACATTAAAGAAACCGCAATTTGTTATGTCCACCTCACACGGAAACGTGGAGTTACTATCGACGATCGTAAATTTCGAGAATAATTTGCAGATTACTTCACACCAATTGGAAGAGAATGGTATACCCGAAGGACGATCCGTAAGAATGTGAATTTTTCCGTGTGAAGAAACCACGAATTTCTGCAGTACATAAGGAAGCACCATCGTGCAATGGTAATAAAAACTTGCGAGACTAGGACCTGTCTCTGCTTTTAGCGAAAACGGTAAACTCGAAGGTCAACGTGTAAGAAGATATTCGAGATGTGGGAGTACGCGAGTCGTAAGTATTGAGTAATCTCTCAGGAAATAGCTGTTAATTATAGAATCGTAAATGTTGGGAACAATTTGCAAAAAGTGTCGTAACTGACAGAAGAAGGAAGAGAATTAGAAAAAAAGAAATGGAAGGTTTTCACACATCAGCTGGCACACGTTGTTCATGAATTGCATTTAAATTTTAATGAACGTAGGAAGCCACGTTATTTATACGTAAGTTCATATCTACGTTTCAATTTCTCCAGATTAACAATTTTAATGTGTGTTAACGTTTCATGCAAGACAGTGTGCAAGTTCAGAGTGCCATTGTGAAAATTGTGAAGTAAGTATAAGTGTTTGTTCGGAAAACTTTAATAGAATTAGGTTAGTTAAGAGTTCCACTTCGACGTCGTGGAAAGAGCGTGAAAGAAAAGGCGCAGACGCGACTTTCGACACGGTCGCATCATCGTTATTTCCGAAAGTCAGACGCTCCCACGTGATCTTACGTAAACAATAAACAACGAATATAACGTATCGTCGCGCGTTTTTTCGTCAGCGAACTGCTACAAAAATAAAGAAAAAAACAAGCAAAAAATCACACTACACCCAATATCACTTGGCATCTTTCGGTATCGAAACAGTCTCGACAAGTCGATCGATCAGTGGATCCTCCACTTTTCATTTAAACTTCTTCAATCGTCGAGATTCAATAAATACTTGAAGCACGTCCTAACTTTTTGTGTAAACAAATGATGGGGCGAGCTAAAAATGCCATTCGTATAAAAAGAACCGCAAACAGTCATCTATTTTCAGCTGGGAAGACAAGGTTAATCACTTAAATCCATTGAAGGGAAAAAGTTTAGTTTATAAATATAAAGGTACCGCGCACGTTGTTAGACTTGTTAAGACTGTTAGTGGGTGCATAATTTCATTGTTAGTGTACGATAGCATCTATATTATTTATTATATTTGTGGGTTTATAAATTTCTCGTCTGGCATGCACGGAGAAAGAGAATTCAGTCTCGGAAGGAGGTGAAAACCGTGCATGGTCAGACACTCCGAGTCAGGCCTCAGGCAGTCTGTAGTACTCTGTACTCATTCTACTTAATTACGACGCCACGCCACTAGGCCACTTTCGTTATCTTTTTACTAGTCTACAGATTTATGTATAGATAATTACTTCTAATTTAAAATGACAAGGAATCAGGCAAAATACATTCATAAAAAAAAAAAAAGGAAAACAATCGCACTTTCCTTTTTTACTTCTACGCTCAAGTTTCTACACCAGTTACCCAATCTACCACCCACCAAACCGAGAAACTTCTACCACCACTACCCCAAAAATAAAACGATCACTCACCAAGTAGAAGAGTAGGCTCCCTATTATCTTCCAGCAGGGAAACCAGCACGAGGAAGAGCGGATGCTGCACAGGCAACCTGTCCGGATCATCGGTGCAGTCGTCGTAAACAACCACCTCCCTGTAGTGTCTCTTCCGCAGCAGCTCTTTGCCCTCCTTGGTGGTAGCTAAATCAGCCAAGGTCGCCTTTCCCAGCTGCAACCTCCTCCTATTGAACCGATCGGAGCAGTTGACGTTGATGGCGCCCCTCACATGGTTCACGTTGTACGAGATGAACGGTCGACAATCCAGCAATACAGGACTAGCGTTCGTCTGGTGATTGAGCAATCGACGCGCCAATTCGTCGGCGGTGACCGTTCTGGTTCTTTGCAGCACTAGCTGCCTCTGCAGCGTGTTGTTCTCCGAGCAGGGGCTGGCTGGGAGGCTCACAGTCTCCAGCTTGCAACGTTTCGAGGCGGACAGCTGATGCTGATGGAAGTGGTGATGATGATGGAGATGGTAGTGGCGGTGGACGTCGGACAGAGGGTAGTCGCAGTCGGTGCCACTGCTGCTTGTCGTGCTGATGCTGCTTCCGCTCGCTGTCAGGCTGCAGTTGGCGCTGTCACTGCCGTCGACGATGTCCACTCCGCTGCTAGTGGACGAGCTGGGCGAAACGGTGGACGTCGGAGAGGGCAGGAAGCTGGACGCGCCAGCGGGAGGGCCTGGCTCGCTCAGACTACGGTTCAGAACCAGCTTGAGGTTGTCGCGGGAACGTCCGGCCGAGACCGGCTCGCAGCACACCAGAGTCGACATCGGTGACGGCGACGGCGATGGCTGCGGGTGGTGGTGGTGTTGATGTTGGAGATGCGTCGTCTTGACGTCAGTCGCGGTTATATCGAGACGCGGCCTCGACGTCGACGCTGAAAAAGAAGGAAAAGATGGTCAGACGTGGCGCGGGCACTGAGCGCGGGACGAAATGTTGGTAACGTGGAGATGGACCAGGTAGGGGGGGGAGGCAAGTGGAATTCTCCAATAGAAACTTGGTTGGACCAGCTGAATGTCGCCCGGTAACCTGGACTGATGGAAACTGGCAGGTGTTGTGGACGGTTTCGTGCTGGGTCGGACAAGATTCAGGGGTAATTAACACTTTAGGAGCTGTTTGAGAAGGAGATATGACTTGGAAGCGGATTTTGGGGATTTGTATATGTTAGTTTGGTTAGATATTCATTTTTAATGTTACCAGGAATATTATGTGTAAGTAATCAACAATAGTGTTAATATTATAAATTCCAGGGGGTAAACACTGCAACTAGAGAACCTATGAACAACCTGGGAGTTGAAGTGCTAAGTTAGTAACGGTTGATGGAAAAATTTTATAATTATCTAGGGGACGTTGGAAATTATATTAATTATTGCTTGAAAGAATCCCTTATTATGGATTGATTTGTTTACGTTTCGTGCGTTATTTAAAATCCCGTTATCTGGATGAGAATTTCAACAATATCTCGCAACGCCGAGCGTCTTGGATGGCGTTATCGTCTCGAACCGTGACGAACAGACGCGTGTCCGTGGGTCAACGATACCCCGAGGACAGAAAGCGATCGTCAATAGCCGCGCAGCGACCTTTTAATCTATCCTCGATAGCTCGCAAACTCGAATCTCAAACACCCAATACGCGCGCTCCGTTCCAGAGACGCTTAATCGGTGAGTCACACGATCGTTTCGCGGCTTATGGAATCTCGCGCTTCCTTATTGCTAGGCTTCCATGAACTACGATAAAACCTCGATGCACACATGCTACACCGGCTATCTGGTCGTTAACTCTGTCGTTTTCTCAGCGAATCGGCGCGGGAATAGTTTCACGAGGGACGAATGTTTCTACTGTGTAAATATTTCGTTCACTTTGTCACTCCGTTTGATATAGGTTTGTAAACCAAGTTTGAGAAAATGGTTGGAGTAAATTCTAAAGAGGATTTGAATTTTACGTGAAAAAGTTAAATAGAGTTTGCTAAAATTGCTTCTTAAATGATTCGTCAGAGGTAAGTAAACATCCTGGGTGTATAAATAGCTACACCTGCGTGGCAGGAATTCGAGTATGAACACTCCAAACGTGTTAATATCGCGACGTGATTTTATTCGGATTGCATAAACTCTTACGCAAATATATATTATATTTTTTTCTCTTCTGCTCGAGGTTTCCGACGGAATAAAGACCGAGATAAAATAATTTCCCCCGTGAATGGAAAATAGCAGGAAAAGCGTCGCGACGGCTTTCCCGTTCCTCGAGGAACAATAGCGCGATTGATAAGATTAGTTGCGGTCTCGGGATCAGAGCACAGTGACTGTTGCAACGAGAAAAGGTACAGTGCGGATTATAAATAAATTATACCAAAATCAATCCTATAACTATCCTGCCTTATTTAAAAGTGAAATAACCCTTGGCCATGTCCTGTGGCAATGATAGTAAACTGCAAACAGACTTCCAAGCGAAAATCGTGCTCCAATGATCGTGTTTTGTAAACATTTCCTTGGAGACGGATCCCATCTTCGAACGATCAACCGTTCGAGGCATCATCGTGATGTTAGGGTAAATACCGAACTCGATACACTCGTTACCGACGATCCGTGCTTTTAAATAGCAATACGAACGCGATGAGTCAGTCCATCGAAATACGCGCCTCGTGTTTGCAGTCGTGTCGCGCAAATCGCGACGACTAAAATATTCCACGACTTGCACAGGTGCTACCACAGGAGTCATTACCGCCGGGATCCAGGGAATTCGTCTCGCGGGTGAATGGCGATGGCGGTGATCCCCGAGCTATTATGTCAGCCAAATCGTTTTACATTCGACCCGTCGCTTTTTGCGCCGAGGAATGCTTCCAAATAATCGCAACTTAACACTCTTCCATGAACCATATTCCAAGTAACTGTTACATTTCGTTTCTAAAAGGGGCCAGAATGAATAGGTTGGATAAACGGTTTCGTTGAACGGAACAGACCTATCGCCAGGCCTGGTTCGTTCACCTCTATTATCAGGACGTTCTGCACCTGAAACACCGGAACAGCCTAGGAAAAGTGTCCCGACGGCCGCGTTTGGTCGTTATCTCGTGTGTACGGGAGATACAACCGGTAACGGTGTTGCACACCAACGATTCTAATGCAGCCAACGAACGTGCTTTCACTCTCGAACGAACGGGCCGTCGCCGTCGATTGTTATGCAACGCGAGTCGCGGCCATTATTTCAGGTTCGTTTATGAACGACATCCTCCAAGGTTAATAAAGTCAATCGTTCGCCTCGATGCCAGTTACTCGGGTCTGATAAAGGATTAAGTGTCGCTTAAACAGCCTCGGTGAGCCGGTCGCGCCGTTGACGGGGCACGTGTCACGGTGGGCCCTAGTTTTTTCAAGTCTTCATCGTCGATTTAAAATTTATCTTGATCGTGGTTGGTTCGAACAACGGAGATAGAAAGTGTTTACAAAAATTTCGGAGCTTATGGAGAGCAGAGAAAATAATTTGAGATTCTGGGGGATGTTTGCTTTTAATGTAGCTTCCATCTTTCTTAGAATACTTACTGAATTAGTAGTATCTAGGTACCTGGAGTAGTCTTAAAGGTTTAGAATTAATTCCTGCATCTGATAGATATTAGCGAAATTCATCGAGGCGATTACGCTATTGTTACGAGACCGACAGGGAGAGACCGTTTCTAATTTGGAAGTTGGACGACGACCAGTGGTCCCGAAACGTTGCGAAAGACCTGGTGCAAGAGCGATGGTGGTCCAACTTAGAAATTACGTGATGCGTCGGGGATTTTTCTGTAGCCCTTCGAGCAGACTTCTTCTGACTTTGGCCTAGCACCTAGCAACGAATGGTAAGTGTCTCTAATTAGAAATCGAACTCCACTCACTCAATAAGTGTCACTAACGAGGGTCAACCCCGGACAATTGGTCAGCGTCTCTAGACTCTAAACAAGTGGACACCTAACAGTGGATCCTAAGAACTTGGTGAGTGTCGCTAACGAGGAATCAATCTCAACTCCTTGGTAAGTGTCTCTCGATCCGAAATCGAGTCCCAACCTCTCGGTAAGTGTCACTAACGAGTAATCAGTTCCAAAGGCTTGGTCAACGGTCCCGTGGAAGGGCAGTTCGGATTTATAGCGATTGTTTGCGTGAACTCGAGCAGCGGTGACCCACGCAAGGCGGCTCTTTTGTGTCAATGCCGTGCCAACGGACTTAACAACGCTATTCGTCGCAATGACGCCTCAGGATCGAATCGGAGTGACTCAGCCAACTAATATTAGAAGGTGAGGAGGCTGCTCTGGCCCGGTCTCTCTCCTGGTTTGTGCCTCTCACTCGTCTCTCGTTTCTCTCTCCATCTCTCTGTCCTTTTTTCGATCTTTCTTTCTCTGTTGGACGGGCCAAGAGACTCGTTCGCGTGTGTTGTGTTCGCAGCGCCGCCGCGGAGTTTCTCTTCGGGCACGACGAGTCTTCGGGTTCGTTGTTTGGAATGAGTAAACGCCGTGGAATTCGACGCTTCGAGCGGCGAATGGCGCGCACAACCTGGGCCCGGGCTTTCAGCCTGCGGACAGGTGTAGCGCCAGCACCTGCTGCCTCCGTTCCGCGGCCACATCTGGATCCAGTCCTGGCCAGAGCCTTCCATCGTCCTTGCGTCGAAACGTAACGAAACGCTTCTTTTTTTATCGACCACGGTAAAGGTACCGACAGTTGATCAGGTGTATCAGTGGTTGACACGTTGCAAAAGAGATTTCAAAATACCTTTCCAGGAAGATGGAAGCTATTTCCTCGAGTTGGAGACATTTGCTGTGAATATCAGGGACTAGCTGACGAAGATGTGGCTTTTCACCCTTTACCTTCGTCCTTCTAGATAAATTACCAACAACTAAGTACAGGTTGCACTGTTTCTCTGACCGAAAGTACATATAAAAGCATAGGGGTGGGTAGCTAATGAGTGGCACCGTGATACAATTTTGTCTGCAATCGATACGTATCGATACTTACCAATGGGTATCGAATAAGTGTCGATTCTATTCGATACTTACAATTAAAACGGTTTCGCGTAAAGCGATACTTTATCGGTGTCGACATTATTCCTATCACTGCTGTCGATACGTACAGCAGTGCTGTATAACAAAACTAACACGAAGACGCTCGAATTTCACTTCAAAATCCAAGGTATTTAATGACATAAAAATAAAATAAGTTAACCCTTTCAACCGTAGCGTTTCATACAAGGAAATATACCACTCCAAGCCAAGAAAAATGGAGACTGAAGGAATTGAAGAACCCATCTGAGACACCCGAAGTGGTTCATCGTACCACGTTACTCCTATTGTGATCTCTGTTTAACCAAGAATGTCAATCACCCACGCTCCTGAATATGCTTCTAATTAGATTCCATGTACATACTGACGTCTGTTACCAAGTCCAAAGCAACGACAGGTGCTCGATCGAACTGAATCAAGTCACCTGAAGTGATCCAGTACACTTGCTCTCACCGAGGCGTTACATCAGTCCACGAATGATATCAGTCATCCACAGGCCTGGGTAAATAACAGGTTGACTGCCAAACGAATATTTTTGAAAATTTCTGCCAAGATTAAATATTATTTAGACTATTTGAGTCAACGTAATCAAACATTTATCGCGGTATTTATTTTTGTTTAAGCTTGCTCTTTACTATCCTACCAAAGGACAGTCACATGCTTAGGCCATTTAGGATGGGCGTCGTGCATTCGCACTGGACTTCTACACGTGGAGAGCAGCAACGTGGTTACTTCAGATGGCCTCGAGTAACCCATGCCAACGCAAAGCCCACACTGGATGTCTAGAGCGAATGTATGACGCTCTTCCTAAATGGATTGAAGAGTACATCTGAAGTATCCCTAACACACACATTCACACC